GGGAGGGTGCTAATGGCAGGGAAGAAGAGAAAGTTGGGTGGGTGGGCTGGATTGGGAGTAAAAGGGAGAAAACTGTACTTGAACAATGATTAAAATAAAATTTAAAAAAAAGAGAGACCAATTTGAAAACAAAAAAATATACACTGCTGTCTTTAAAGATGGGTAAAGGGCAGTGATGTCAGAGAAATGGCAGCATGAGAGATCCCCTTGGTCTCTCCCCTGGAAATGACAACAATTTGAACAGCTATAATTTGACAAAGGATTCCCTGCTCAATGTACATGTATGCCTCAGAGATCTGCACATTGAAACATTTAAAGGTGGGCCAGAGGGAACAAACAGGGGAGGCAAGAAGATATGATGGACCCTGAAAAGGACACAACACAAGGGCTCAGGTGCAGCTTTCAGGCATTTGACATTCCAGACAAAGAAAAAGAGCCATTGAGTCCTGCTGTTCTGTCGACTTCCAAAGCTCACCTTCCGTCACCCTTGGGGTCAGGTTGTGGAGCACTTTATCCACAAAGCCGAAAACAGTGACTACCAAATCACTATTTCCTCTGAGTAAAGGTTGCACTCTGTCACTGACCCCAAGTTCAGGTACTCAGGGAGCTCCATGGAGGTCTAAGTTCACCTATAACAAGAAGGCAAAAAAAAAAAAAGTCAGTCAGGTTACCCAAGAAAACCCCACCCTTGAGTATTGCTGTTACACTGACAGTCAGCTACTGGGGTCAACTTTGGGATTTCACAGAGCTCAAAAACTGTTGACTCAGTGCCACTTCCTAGAAAATAATGGCAAGGCCTCTTCCTAATAATCTGCTAAAGAAGTGCCACACTACAGAGATGCCTAGACAGAGAAGGAACCCATTAGTAGCATGAATAACCATGGTAATGAGGCAGCTTAGAAAGAAAATAAAAGTTCCAGAAAGCAAACTTGAACACATGGAAATATATGCTAAAAATGAAAAAAAATTTAAGATTGCGCTACTGAACATACTGAACAAGATGCAAGAAAATACAAACAGACAATTTCCTATTTTAATCATTTTTAAAGGTGAATTCAGTGCATTAAGCACATTCACAATGTCCAACTATCACCACCTTACAATTTCATCACTCCAAACAGAAATCCTGTATGTATGAAGCAGTTGCCTCTTATTTTCTCTTACCTCATTATCTGGTAACCTCTTTTTCTCTGTGAATTTTCCTACTGCCATCATGGTAGATCCCTTCATCATCTTTATCTCTGAGTTTGATATCATCACATGAAGATAAAAACTTCATCTAGGAAGACCTTTCCACAAGGTGAGAATGATTCTGGACATCACTTGCCATAAACCCTGAACTGACTCTCCACTTAGTTTAGAATTAATCACAATCATTGAGCCAGAATCTAAGACTCTCTGTTATCTGGTGGCTAATATAAGGAAATAAATCAGAGAAAGATATTCAAATACTGTATATTATCTCTGTCTAAAAACAAGAGCTTATAGACAGACAACAGATTGTTGATTGCTGCAGGTAGAGGATGGGGACATAGGTAACAGGGATGGAGCAGGTCAAATGGTACAAACTTCCAGTTACAGAGTCAGTAAGTTCTGGGGATGTAGTCTACAGCACAGTGACTACATCTAGTAACACTGTACTCTGTATTTAAAAGTTCTCAAGAGAATACTTACTAAAGTTTCTCATCGCAAAAAAAAACACTTGTGACAGTGTATGGTGATGGATGGTGACTTGACTTATTTGGTGAATCATTATGTTGTACAGATGAAACTACTATAATGTTAAGAGTCAATTATATGTTAAAAAAACCCACACACACATTTATTATCATTCAGTTCTTAAGGTCAAAAGTACAAAACATGCCTCATTCTATCAAAGGTCAAGTTATCCACAGAGCTGTTCCCTCTTTAGGGGACTGTAAAGGATAAGCTGTTGGTTTGCCTTTTCCTGGCTCTGGAGGATGACAACACTCCTTGGCTTGGTGCCCCATCCCCATCTTCAAAGTCGGCAATGGTGAATCAAGTCTTTCATGCATCACATCACTCTGGCCTTCCTCTTTCTCGGTTAAGGAAATATGATGACTTTGGGTCCACTCAGATAATCAAGGATACTCTCCTGATTGAAGGTTAGCTGATTGGAAACCTTAATTTCATCTATAATCTAATTCATGTAGCCAACAAATGTTGGGGTTCAGGAGGTGGACATCTTTGAGAGGCCATTGTTCTGACTGCCACAATATGTGACACAATTTTGGCCAAAGACATGTCAATGGAAGTCTGTTAGGTGGAACTTTGTGGAAATCCTATAGTTTTTCATTTAAATAATATTTTTAATTAAAAATATCAATACAACTCACATGATATTGAGCAATGCAAGCATAACATTGAGCAAACTATGGCAGGCATGAAAATATACATTGCAACATTCTATTTATGTGAAGTTCAAAATAGGCAAGAAGTAATCTATGCTGTTAGAAATCTGGAGAGTGAGGAGAAGTGGTGACTGGAATTAGGCACAAAGAAAGCTACTGAGTGGCTGGACATGTTCTATTTTTTGTTCTGAGTTACAGTTACAAGGAATATATTAGTTTTGTGAAAGTTCACTGAACATTTGATGTGATAATTTTCCATATGTATGTTGCACTTCAAAGAAACGAAAAATCCCTTCTGATGCCCTTAGTTTCTCTCACACTTCCTATGTGGCTGAGAGATTGCATGTTTGGAGGTACAGCAGGTATTCTGTGATCATGAGGACAAAAAACACACACAGGGAATCATGGTGCATAAAAAACAAGACGATTTCTTTAAAAATATCATGAGAGTGTCAGAGTATCCCTGAACTCGCTCCCAGCTCTACAGCTGTGATTTCCAAGTAAATAAAGTTTTAATTTATTGAAGTCTTTATTGTGGCAGAACTTCCCTTTAAGCTTAGTGCCACCCCAAAGTCAACACACTGTTGTAATAAGTGTATCTGTATTTTTGTTATTGCTGCACACAAATGGCTCAGTTGGTTGGAGCTTTGTCCCATACACCAAAAGTTTGTGGATTCATCCTGGTAGGGGACATACTAGGTGAAGGGTGGGATCCTGGTTGGGGCCCATAGGAAAGCAACCAATCAATATTTCTCTGTCACAATGACATTTGTCTCTCGCTCCCCCTTTCTCTCTGTGTAAAATCAATGAACATATCCTAGGGCGAGGACTTTTTTTTTTAAAAAAAAAGCCTTGAGAAATTAGAAGGCTTCAGAAGATAATCATTAATATAGACACCTAAAATGCCATAGAAAGAAAAATAGAAAATTTAGAGATTTTTCTCTGCATAAGTAAATACTTAGTGGTCACAGAACCTGCCCTCCACCAGAAAGGAACCTGGCATGGATGGAAACTTGTGACATCACTTACTGCCCTCCCTGACAGGTACCTTGCAGGCTCCAGAGATTCTCATCTCTTCTCAGCCCTCACATTCAGGATATTCACTGTGGAATTTATGCAGCCATGACCCATCCTCTTTCAAATTCCATTCTCTGTTGTATCTGCACTTCAAACGCCACCTCTTTCCATCAGGCGCCCCACCCCCAGCAAATGCAAGTATCAGATTGCAAATCATTATGAATATGTGAAGAGCAGGCCAAAAAAAAAAAAAAAGCACTACCTACATGAGGAAGCCCAAAGAGATGGTACAAGAAAAGGAAGAGCTCCCTAGCTCTGTTAATCCAAGAGTTAAGTCCCTGGACTCCAGAAATCTGGAAGGAAAAGTTTTATTGATTTTCAGCCTATAAATTGCAAGCCTGAGGCCAGGAGCAGTGGTGGTGGTGTTCATATTCAGAGGGTTTGACCCTCTAGAGTGAAATTTCCACATGAGCTCATTAAACATATTTTTACTCTAACTTACAATCATGGTTTAACTCAGATGTATTTCAGATAACTGCATAAAATTGAGTCCAATGAGGTCCCTTTCCAGGCAGTCACGGCAGGGTGGAATGATGTGCACATTTATGCAGGAAGAGTGGTGATCCCTTTTCATATGACTGGGCAGGATTTTAACGCCTGTGTGATTCATCCTTTGATTATAAAAATGGATGACATCTTGAGTACAAAGGAGATATATATTGTATGATATTCATATTGGTCACTCACTGTCCCTTTGGTGGATTTGGAAACATTTGGAAAAGGGAGACATTTCATTTAGAGCACTAGAAGGAGTCCCATTTGGAGGGAGCACACTGAAAGTTTTCAAGCAAAATGAAAATAATTCAGGAAAAAACACAAAACACTTCAAGTAATTCTTCACCTCTGACACATGGATATCATATTCCACAATTCAATAAGTATATGTGCAGCATGAAAAATATTTTGTATAATAATAAATTGTCTGGCTCTTTTTCCTTCATTATATGTACGGTCATCTATTACATATTAGGTCAAACTATTTACTAAAATATATATTTCTTAGTAGACTCTTTTTGGAAACATGGATTTGATAGTCAGTTTTTTTCCAGGGACTATGTAGGCATGTGGACACACAGCTGAATAACAGAATGAAGTATATAAAACCAGGAGACCAGCTATAAAACCTACCAGCATGTTTAAGTCTACATTATCAAGAAGCATAGTAAAGGTAGTGCTATAGAAAACAATGATGACCATGTAAATGAAAACTGTGGTCTCAGATGTTCCTCTACAACAAAATTATATACATGACCTCACTATCCAAGTGCAGTTTAGTCCATAAAGTAGTATAATTAATGACAATTTTTTTCAATAAAACAACATAAATATTACTTGGAATGATACATGTCATAAGAGAATAAATTATGTTAATGTAATTCATGTTAACCCATGAGATATATGAGAATTTCTAATTACACATGGTCCAAAGATTGTATTAATGTGTGTCAGAACTTCTTGCTCTGAAGCTTTGAAATTGTTCTTGCTCTTGCTCTGAAGCTTTGAAGATTCATGGGCACCTCTTCAGCCATGTACAATTGGTCCTTGAAATGCCTACCTGCCAAGGAATCTTTCCAAGGCCTTCTTTATGTCCTTGTTCCTGAGACTGTAGATGAAGGGGTTCAGCATGGGTGTGACCACAGTGTACATCACTGAGGTTGTTGCACTTGACTGTGAGTGGTGGGTACCAACCGAGCCAAGATACACTCCTAGGCTCGTGCCATAAAATAAGAAGACAACTGAGAGGTGAGACACACAGGTAGAAAATGCGTTATACTTCCCCTGAGCTGATGGGGTTCTACATATGGAAGACACAATCTCAGAGTAAGAATAAAGGATCCCAGTAAGGGGACCACCACCCAGCAGCACAGCTGAAAAGTACATCACCATGTCATTAGGAAAGGTGTCAAAACAGGCAAGTTGGACCACCTCTTTGAGTTCACAGAAAAAGTAGGGGATTTCCAAGTCTGAGCAGAAGGACAGATCCAACACCATTAAGCACTGTAACAGGGAATTCAGGGTACTCATGATCCAGGACATCAAAACCAGCAGTTTGCAAAGCTGGGAGTTCATGATGACAGTATAGTGCAGGGGGTGACAGATGGCCACATACCTGTCAAGGGCCATGACAGTAAGGATGAAGTCATCCAACACTGCAAATAGCATTAAAAAATACATCTGAATGATGCATCCTAAATAGGTGAAGACTGTGCTCTGTGTCTGAATGTTCACCAGCATCTTTGGGATGTTGGTGGAGGTGAAGCAGATGTCTACCAAGGACAGGTTGGAGAGGAAGAAGTACATGGGGGTGTGGAGGTGGGAGTCTGAGCTGACAGCCAGGATGATGAGCAGGTTTCCCAACACAGTGATCAGGTACATGCAGAGGAATAGCCCAAATAAAAGGGGTTGCTGTCCATGTGTCTCTGAAAATCCCAGTAGAAGGAATCCTGAAATTGGTGTAATATTGACTGGTTCCTGTGGTGCAGGTGACTACCAAAAAATAGGAAATAATGAATAACTAATTTTCGCATTAGCAAGCATTAGAAACTAAAATAAATGCTACATTTATGTTTTAAAATCCAAAAAATAATTTCCATATTTGGTATAGAATCTTTTTCTTCTTAAAGCACTTCCTTTGCCATTTCTCATTAGAATTTCCTTTTCTACCATCAACCCATTCTTCAAACACCATGTATACTGCTGTTTTATTTAGAAAGAAGTTCATGCATTTGAGGAATATACTCATATATTAAATTTAGACCATGTTGCAGCAACTGTTCAGAGTATGGGATGATGAAAAACAAGAGTCTCTAGAAACCAATCATGGACAAAGAATATAGTCAAATAAAAACAATAATACAAACATATCCAATGGAGCACATGTTATATAGAAAGGTAAATCACAATAAATGGAGAAAATTGATAAAATTGTTTTTTTGTCAAGACTTGCCAACAGGCAACACTATAACAGGCACCTCAAAGAAGATTAAGCAGGAGGATAAGGTTGAGAAAGTGTTTTCCATGCAGCAGGAACAGACAGTGCAAAGATCCTGAGTAAGATGATTGTTTTAGAAAATCAAGGCTCAGAAGGAGCCAATGTGTCAAGGCCAGGAGAGATGGTGTCAGAGAGTATTGAGAAACAAGGGCGCCTGCAAGTTTCTGTTGAAATTTCGAGTCACAGAAAGTCCCTTCTACACACTATGTAAATCTTGCACTTTATTAATCTTGTTGCAAAAGCATCCCATGAGTTGAAAAGAATCTCCTCCTTAGTTCCATCTCTTGATAGAGTTCTGCCCACTGGGTGACAAGTCACCTTGGAGTACATGAGTCCAGGTACCCCTGCTTTGAGTACTGCTCTCAGGTTATGGGGCACACACATGCACACACACACCTGGCCTACTCATGTATGTGGTCTCCATGTTTGTCTCACTCACAATTTAGGCTATCAGTACATACAACTAAAGCTGTCCAGATCAGGTTTCTTTTCCACAAAGAATTTAGACATGCTACTGCCATACTGCTATGGTAAGCCTGCACGCACAAATAAGCTTGGAGTTCTAGATTGGAATGTCCATTTAATGCACTGTAAAGAAACATAAATGTGGAAAGAGAGAGACCAATAAAATGGACACAAGGAAGAAAAAATATCTGTTGATAATAAGCTCAGGTGATCTCTGAGAGATGATGAGGAAGAAATGTCTTTGGATTCTGGCAGCTTTCCAACCCTAAGTACACTCCCTTGAAGTCAAGCAAAAATAATAAAGGAGAAAAGATGTATTTGTCCAAAACACAAAGGTAGTTACCTACATATGGTGTGGAAACACCTTGCAGATTGACTACCCCAAGTAAAAACTGACCAACAAAATAAACTAGTATTTTACCAAAGTAAATCTCTTTAATATCAAGTAGTGGAAGACTGGCTTTTCCTGTGCCTATGCTATAGTTATTTGACTATACCTGTTCACCTAAAAGGACTGGTTACTCTTTAGGTGAGACAAACCCCTCCCTCACTTTTCTCATGTGGCCCCTTTCTTTTTCTTGGACTTTGAATTTGGATCTCATTTTTGGCAAATCAGTAGGAACTTTCAATTCTGGTTCTAGTCTTCATCCAACATGCAAAGGCCTCCCAAGGACGTGACAAATAAAGCCTGCATATGCCATGACAATCCATCCTTTCACACGGAGTAACTTTCTTCATGCAATGGAAGCCCGTCCACCTTATCACGCAAACATTTATTTCACTGTACTGTGCCTTCACCATCACAATGGGGTGGGGGAGAGTGATGGGGGAAAATGGAGACAACTGTAGTAGAACCATAGTAAAAAAATAGTGTGGAGATAAAAATGTAAAACATTGAAAAAAAGATAAAATCCACTCAATTAAAATCAAAACCAAGCAATGCCAAATCTGAACAAGCAGGGCTTCACCTGCTTTTTTCACCACTGTAATTATACAAATGTGTGTGTATATATATATATGTGCATTTACTCAGGAACCCATTTAAGTAAAAGTGAAGTAATGAAAGGAATAGCAGGGAGAATAAAACCTAGTTAAACAGAGTGATTTAGCTACTGTGTTAAGTCCGCGCTGAAGGCCTGTTTCCTAGGCTACAACCGGAAGACTAAGTTCCTTATTCGCGCCTCGCCACTGTGTTAAAGAAAATGAGAGGAGCATCAAAAAGTAATGAAAACAAGATCTAAATACCAATGTGCATTAGCAGTTAAATTGACGAAGGCACAGACACAGAAGGTAATGTATGATGTTCCTGGATGTGGTGGCAAAGCAGAAGCTCAGTTTTATTTGTTTGAAGAATCAGAAATTAGACCTCAGTATACAAGTACATTTAATACATGGTAAGGTTGTATTTCTACGTATTTGGAAAGGTTAGATTGTTGAATAAAAGCTGGAAAAATAAACATCCACCTGGAAGAAAATGAAGTCGATCCCTTACCTCTGTCATGTTACATAAAATCTGGGGGATTGCCTGCTCACTGGAGGAGTAACCAGTCCTATTAGGTGAACAGAATGAAAACTATATATTAATATTGATGGGTGGGCCAAACCACCCAATCAAGTCAAGTTATAACGTAGGATGCTGTACAAAAGTCCATGGATGCAAGTGTGCATGTCAGCATAATATAGGAAGACAACATTAGTCAGGAGTAAAAAGACAGATGTATTTAACAAATAAAATGCAAAACATTTTTATGGCCAACACATCCCTAAAGTCATTAAGAAATAATGGTTTTTCCTTTTTTATTTTTCCTTTTTTATTTTTAATGAACTTATTAGGGTGATATTGGTTAATAAAATTATATATGTTTCAGGTGTACAACCAGCTAATACATCACCTGTGTATTGTATTGTGTGCTCAGCACCCCAAGTCAGGTCTCCTTCTGTCAACATTCGTCCCCTTTACCCTCTTCTACATCCAACCACCACAATTTTTCAAACTCATTGAAAAGGCTGACCATGAAAACAGTAACCATATAGTAATGTTCCAATTATTCAAAAAACATCAAATATGAATCTTTGATCAAAATCAGAAGAAGTTCAGCAAACAACAAAAAAGTTCTTTCACACCTGTCAGCCTGGAGAAAAACTTAGAAAAATGTCACATTGACTGGGGTGCAGACTTTTAAACAGGCAAAAATGGATGCTCTTATTTCTCCTGGCTGAACTGTGAAGTGTTACAACATCAGGAAAACAGTCTGAAGGCAGCTACACACCCTACACGGACCTGTGTCTCTAACGCAGGGCTCCTCAGCTGCTGCAGGACTGACATCCTGGACCAGGTCTTTGTCTGAGGGGTGGTCTCTCCTGGGCATTGCAGCATGTTCAGAGCATCCCTGGACTTTACTGACACCTCCCATGTGAAAGCCAAAAATGTCTCCAAACATTACTCAGTGATCCTGGGTGAACAGTATTGTCTCTGGTGAAGAACCAGAATTTTAATGTAACAATCTCAAAATATTTTCTTATATTGTTATAATAGCAATGTATTGAGAAAGTGTACCTTAGATTTCAGGTGTGACCTGCAGAGCCACACCACAGAATATTATGTAGACATGGAAATAATGAATCAGTGTCTTACACCCTTTTTGACTGAAGGGAAGACCATAGATATTGTTGAGTAAAAAGGGGGAGTGGACACATGGAAAAAACTGTACAACACACAAAGAGCATTTCTGATGGGCCAGGATGCTGTTTATGCATTTGTACAAAAGCCCATGAGTGTGTATGTGAACATAATGTAGGAAGAGAAGATTTAAAGAAAGAAACTAAGCCCTAATGGAATAAAGATGACCAGCAGGAATGTAATTAGGTTACGTATACTGATCACAAAACTACTGTATGAAAAATAATTAAGTGAGAATCAAATTAATTTACATTAAAACAGAAAATAATAACTTAACAATATCAACATAGGCCACTGATCCCAGATTAAATTTCCAAAGACTTGGAAACTATAAAGAGGTTTTTAAAATCAGGGAGAAATCAACATCTAAGTTACAAATCTTCTTATATAGAGATATATGGATTCAAATTATCTTATGGAAGGTAGGGGTAATCTCCAGTCATATCTTTATAAAGAGTGCCTTCCACTTTAACAGGAACATAATCAACAAAATAACAAGCAAGGAAAATATAACCAAAGACCCTGAAATTGAGAATAGGCTGACAGTGACCAGAGCAGAGGGGGGTGCATAATGGGGCAAAAGGGTGAAGGGTTTACAGGAACAAGTATAAAGGACACATGGACAATAACAAGGGGGGTAGAAACAGGGGAAGGTGGTGGGGAGGGCTGGGGAGAAAAAGTAGCAAACTACTTGAACAATAATAAACCCATGAAAGGATGCAGCACAGGGGCTCAGATGCGGCTTTCAGGCACTTGGCATCCAGACAAGAAAAAGAGCTATTGAGTCCTGCTGTCCTATAGACTCCCAAAGCTCACCTTCCATCACCCTGGGGGTCAGGTTGTGGAGCACTTTATCTGCAAAGCCAGAAATGGTTACTATAAAATCACTATTTCCCCTGAGTAAAGGTTGCACTCTGTCACTGACCCAAGTTGAGGGGCTAAGAGGACCCCATGGAAGTCTAAGTTCATGTATAACAAGGAGACAAAACAAAAATTTCAGGTTACCCCAGAAAACCCCACCTCCAAGCATTGCTACTACAATGGTGGAAACTACTGGGGTCAACTTTGGGATTTCACAGAGCTCAAAAACTTTTGACTCAGTGCTACTTCTTAGAAAATAATGGCAAGGACTCTTCCTAGTAATCTGCTAGAGAAGTGCCACACTACAGAGATGCCTAGACAGAGAAGGAACCCATTAGTAGCATGAATAACCATGGTAATGAGGCACCTTAGAGAGAAAATAAAAATCTTCAGAAAGCAAACTGGAACACATGGAAATATGTGCTAAAAAGGGCAAAAAATTTAGGATTGCAATACTGAACATACTGAACAAGATGCAAGAAAATACAAACAGACAATTTCCTATTTTAATCATTTTTAAAGGTGAATTCAGTGTCATTAAGCACATTCACAATGTCCAACTATCACCACCTTACATTTCATCACCCCAAACAGAAATCCTGTATGTATGAAGCAATTACCCCAATTTTGTCATACCTCATTCTCTGCTAACCTCCTTTTCTCTATGAATTTTCCTACTGCCATCATGGTAGATCCTTTCATCATCCTTATCTCTGAGTTTGATATCATCACACGAATATAAAAACTTCATGTAGGAAGACCTTTCCACAAGGTGAGACTGATTATGGATGTCACTTGCCATAAACCCTGAACTGACTCTCCACTAAGTTTAGAATTAATCACAATCATTGAGCCAGAATCTAAGACTCTCTGTTATCTGGTGGCTGTCCACGTAGCTAGACTCAAGGTTCAGTTTTTATCCTCTGCTCCTCATTGTTCATGATGCACTAGCAGCTATTTTTCATTTCCTAACTACACTTTAACATTTCATTATAATGCCCAATTACTTTTCTGTAGCATTTTCTGGTGTGTGCTTATTTTTTTCTGCACCTGGAATATAACTCCACTTGTCCTTCAGATTTCAATGCTATTTTAGGCTCATCTGTGAAGTCTTCGTGGACCTGCAGGATGAGTTGACTATCTGGGGACCCTTTCAGCAAGATAACAGTAACACCTGACAGTATTGCATTTGTTTATTTACATGACTTTACCCAAGGTTAGACTGTGAGCTTAAAAGGAGGAACAAATCTTAATATTTTCTTCCCCCACAGAATATATTTTAGTGCTTACCATACAGTAATTGCTTAATAAATATTTGCAAAGGCTGCAAAACCACATGGTTGAGTGAGGTAAAAAGATACAACCTACAAAGTGGGAAATGAGAAGCAGTGAAACAAGGGGAGGGATGCCCCAGGATGGACGTTAACACCAGAAAAGATAGATGAAAGAAAGAAGATACTCTGGTAACCCAGAATCTCCCTCCAGACTCTGAAATAGAACATTTGTTGTGGGGTTCCTGTTCTATAGCCCCAAGAAAGGGCAGGGAGGTGGAAGCACTCATGAGACCTCTGGAAGACACAACTGTGTTTCCTCATGATCTGGGATTGGTAGAGTACACTTGAGGGCACTTAGTGGAAGCATTTAAGGGTTTCTGTGACTTGAAGAGACACACTGAGAATCATGGTGCATAAAAAATAAGACTACTACTTTTTTTGTTGTTCCTAATTTTTTTGTTGGTTTATATGCCCATTTTTAAAAAATTTTATTGCTGCTCAAGTACAGTTGGTTGCATTTCCCCCCACCACCCCAGCTATCCCCACCTCTCTCCCCTGATCCCACCCACCCCCTTGGTTTTGTCCATGTGTCCTTCATAGTTGTTCCTGAAAACCCTTCCCTCTTTTCCCCTCATTATCTCCTCCCACCTCCCCTCTGGGTACTGTCAGATTGTTTTTAATTTCAATGTTCTGCTTATATTTTGCTGCTTGTTTGTTTTGTTGATTAGGTTCCACTTACAGGTGAGATTATATGGTATTTGTCTTTCACTGCCTGGCCTATTTCACTGAGAATAATGCTCTCCAGTTCCATCCATGCTGTCCCAAAGGGTGGGAGCTGGTTCTTTATTTCTGCTGCATAGTATTCCATTGTGTAAATGTACCATAGTTTTTTGATCCATTCATTTGCTGATGGGCACCTAGGTTGCTTCCAGCACTTGGCTATTGTAATAGTGCTGCTATGAACATTGGAGTGCATAGATGCTTTTCAATTGGTGTTTCAGGGTTCTTAGGATATAATCACAGAAATGAGTTCCTGGGTCAGAAGACAGTTCTATTTTCAGTCTGAGGAAATTCCATACTGTTTTCCACAATGGCTGCACCAGTCTGCATCCTCACCAACAGTGCACTAGGGTTTTCTTTTGTCCATATGCTCTCTAACACTTGTTGTTTGTTGATTTTTTTATGGTGGCCATTCTGACTACTGTGAAGTGGTATCTCATTGTGGTTTTAATTTGCATCACCTCTGATGGCTAGTGATGCTGAGCATCTTATCATGTGTCTCTGGATCCTCTGTATGTCCTCCTTGGAGAAGTGTCGTTCAACATTCAACAATCAAAGGAATCTTGTACACCAACAATGAAATATCAGAAACAGAGATCAGGGAAAAAATCCCATTTGATACAGCAACAAGAAAAATAAAGTACCTAGGAATAAACCTAACCAAGGAGGTAAAAGACTGTACTCAGAAAACCACATAATACTGAAGAAAGAAATTAAGGAAGACACAAACAAATACAAGCATGTACGATGTTTGTGGATTGGAAGACTATTTCTTTAATAATTTCATGAGACTGTCAGAGTAGCCCTAAACTCCCTCCCCAACTCTACACCTGTGATTTGCAAATAAATAAAGATTTAATTTATTGAAGTCTTTATTGTGGCAGAACTTCCCTTTAAGCTTATTGCCAGCCCAAAGTCAACACACTGTTGTAATAAGTGTATCTATATTTTTGATAATTGCTGCACACAAATGGTTCAGTTGGTTGGAGCATCATCCCATACACCAAAAGTTTGTGGATTCATCCTGGTAAAGCACATACTAGGTGAACAGTGGGATACTGGTTGCTTCCCAATCAGTGGTTGGACACACTGATTGGGAAGCAACCAGTCAATGTTTCTCTGTCACAATGGTGTTTGTCTCTCCCTCCCCCTTTCTCTCTGTGTAAAATCAATAAACATATCGTAGGGTGAGGACTTTATTTTTTTAAAAAAGCCTTGAGAAATTAGAAGACTTACAGAATATAATCATTAATATAGACCCCCCCCCAAAATGCTATACCCAGACCAAATAAAAAATTTAGACATTTTTCTCTGCATAAGTAAATACTTAGTGGTCACAGAACCTGCCCTCCACCAGAAAGGAACCTGGCATGGATGGATACTTGTGACATCACTTACTGCCCTCCCTGACAGGTACTTTGCAGTCTCCAGAGATTCTCATCTCTCCTCAGCCCTCACATTCAGGATATTCACTGTGGAATTTATGCAGCAACAACCCCTCCTCTTTTAATTCCTTTCTCTGTTGTCTCTGCATTTCAAATGTCACCTCCATCTATCAGGCACCCCACCCACAGCAAATACAAGTATCAGATTGGGAATCATTATGAATATGTGAAGAGCAGGCCAATTATATAAGCACTATCTACATGAAGAGACCCAAAGATGGTACAAGGAAAGGAAGAACTCCCTCCCTCTGTTAATCTGTGAGTTAAGTCCCCAGACTCCAGAAGTCTGGAAGGAAAAGTTTTATTTCTTTTCAGCCAATAAATGGCAAGCTGAAGGCCCGGGGCAGGGGTGGGAGTGTTCATATTCAGAAGGGTTTGATCCTTTAGAGTGGAATTTCCACATCAGCTCATTAAACATATTTTTACTCTCACTTTTTTCTCTAAGATCATTCAGCTGTTCAGGTGGGAAATGCAGAAATAAAACTTGACTGAATTGAAATTTACACAAGTGGTAGGTAGCCTGTATGCAGAGTTGTCCCCAATTCTTTGTCTGTTTCCAGTCTTTGGCAATGTGACTGTGAAGCTCCTCCCATCCAGAAGAGGAGTTATTGCTCCACCTTTGAAAGGGGGTAACTTACAATTTTGTATTTGTATTAGCCAATAAATATTGTGGAAGTGACAGTGTACTTTACCATGGCTTGTCATTTCGGATGTTCTCACCTGGAATTTTTAGTACACTAGTGGCTCAGCTGTGAGAACAATCCAGGTGGAACTTCCAGAGGAGGAGGGGACATGTGGGCAGAGCTCACTTACCCAGCCAAGACCTCCCTAGATCAGCCACAATAGCTGAGCCACTAGTGTACTAAAGCCCAGCACAGGTCAGCAGACACACCCCAACTGACCTATAGCTGACGACAGACTCATGAGGAGACCAGCAGAGATCAGAACACCTCCCCACTATACAAACCAATTCGAAAATAAAGGAGTTATATTAAACCATTTGCTTTTGGGATGGCTTGTTATATAGCAATAACAAACTGATGATATAATCAAAGCAAGCAGAACTGAGGGCAATTATACTAATCTGCTACTTCTTTTAGCATTTGTACTGATGGAGGAGAGCATTCACAATTGTGCTTTTATTCAGATGTATTTCAGATAACTGCATAAAAGCAAGTACACTGAGGTTCCCTACCAGGCAGTCAGGACAGTGTGGAATGATGAGCATGTTTGTGCAGGAAAATTGGTGATCTCTTTTTTCTTGACTGGGCAGGATTTTAACTCCTGTGTGATTCGTCCTTTAATGACAAAGACTGAAGACATTCCTGAGTACAAATGAGATATATATTGTACGATATTCATATTGGTCACTCACTGTCCCTTTGGTTGATTTGGAAACATTTGGAAAAGGGGAGACATTTCATTTAGAGCACTAGAAGCAGTCCCATCTGCAGGAAGCACACTGAAAGTTTTCAAGCAGAAACAGCAAAATACTTCAGAAAAAAACACAAAACACTCCACATAATTCTTCACCCCTCATACATGGACATCATATTCCACAATTCAATGAATAGATGTGCAGCATGAAAAATATTTTGTATAATAATAAATTGTCTGGCTCTTTTTCCTTCATTATATGTATGGCCATCGGTTACATATTACATCAGTCTATTTACTAAAATGTATATTTCATAGTAGACTCTTCTTGGAAACATGGTATTGATAGTCAGTTTTTTCCAGGGCCTATGTAGGCATGTGGACACACAGCTGAATAACAGAATGAAGTATACAAAACCAGGAGACCAGCTATAAAACCTACCAGCATGTTCAAGTCTACATTATCAAGAAGCATAGTAAAAGTAGTGCTATAGAAAATGATGATGACCATGTCAGTGAAAACTGTGGTCTCAGATGTACCTGTACAGCAAGATTACATACATGACCTCAGTATCCAAGTGTGCATTAGTCCATAAAGTAGTATAATTCATGACAATTTTTTCAGTAAAACAATATAAATATTACTTGGAATGACATAGGTCATAAGAAAATAAATATACTAATATAATTCATGTTAACTCATGAGATATATGAGAATTTCTAATTACACATGGTCCAAAGATTATATTAACTTGTGTCAGATCTTCTTGTTCTGAAGTTTTGAACATTTGAACATCAGGGGCCTCATATAGTTGGCCCTTAAAAGCCTACCTGCCAAGGAATCTTTCCAAGGCCATCTTTATGTCCTTGTTCCTGAGACTGTAGATGAAGGGGTTCAGCATGGGTGTGACCACAGAGTAAATCAC